TCCTTCAAATTTTACGGATTGGGCTCATGCTCTTTGGAATTCAGTGATGGATAGCTCCACAGAAAAACATCAATTATAAACAAGAAAACCATAACCTTCAGCGCTAAAAAATAAATAATCTGAAGAACATACAGGAAAAACTGAAGGAAATGGAGCTTGGCAAATGCAAAACTGTGATTTATTAAAATCTTGGAGAAAGTTCAGGAGAAATAAGCACTTATGCTATTGCAGCATAGGAACTCGTCAAAGATATTATTATCCTTCTGTCCTAATGAAAGATGCCATAAGAAATCAGAGTGAAATGTGTTTCAGTAAGTATAATTAAAAGGATAAACGTGTTTGATTTCTAAATAGAATTATGCAAAGGATGTGTTTGCTCACTCCAGTGGGAAGTGATATTTTAGGAGAAGGGTTCGTATGTATCTTACAAAAGGTTTGCAGATACACTCAACAGACTCCCAGCCTTATGTCCCATAACATGAGGGTGTTTTAGGCACAAACTGCACAGCAGGGCTGGTGACTGTAATGTTGGGGTTTGCTTTCTCTGTTGATAAGGACAGTTCATGTCATACACCTGAGTTTTTCAACTCGTTTAGCAGCTCTACTTCTCTTTCAGAGAAGACAAAGGCATGGATGTGTCTGGGATTTCTAATGGAAGGCAAGGAACTTTGTAAATGAGTTTCTGGATAAGTCCAATCTACATACAGTTCCTCCCCCATGTAAAAGACATTTCTTCACCTGTTGTTACATTAGCTGTCCTTGGAAGAACTCAGAATTACTGATTATGAGCTAAACTTACAACCTAGATTGATATTCTTTTAAGGGCATGTAGAGTTCTGGAAGAACAAATGATACAAAATTCAACCTTACTCCAAAAATTAAAACAACTTTTAGTAAAAGGTATGTCTTGGTGTTCATGTCAGTGGGTTCATGATTTAAATACTGGGCACATTTCTTTGCTAATTACCAAGAAGATATTCTGGTGCAAATAAAATTTTCAATTCAAATAAAAAATTGAGTTTTAAGTAGAAAGTTAATCCTGATTTATTTCTGGAAGCATTCATGATCCAAAACCTAGATATTTTCATTGGCTGCCTTTAAAAAGAGAAGGAAACCCTTTGTATTTCCATGCTCACAGTGTGGTCACGTAAAGGCAGAAGGCTAATAAAGAGCATTTTGCTAAATTTATATATCCTTGTGTCTGTGGCTATCTGCTGTGAAATATCATCTGCTTTTAGTAGGAAGCCACAGGTATTGAACTGATTGGTACAGTTTCTTTTTGAGAGCTTGCTGCAAGTTGGGGAACACTTTCTATTTCACAGCAGGTCTGTCTTTTGAGTAGCTGATGCACTGTGGCTGGAGGAAGGAATAGGGAACTTTTGATTTCAGTCAGCTTTCCTGAGGTACCCACAGAGGAGCACACAGGTAAAATGGATGAAGGAAGGGAAAAGCTGTAATTGCAGAGCTCTGCAGGCTGGATGGCAGCAAGCTCTGCCTTAGCTCTGCTGTAGCAGGATGCAAGCTAAGGACAATGCCACACTAAATGCATGCTGCTCCTGCTGATGAGAAGAGCAAGGGACTGGCTTGGCTATGCCATCTCTGCTGTGAAAACCTGCTTAGGCACCATTTTTTCACCTCAGGACCAGAATGGTACCCCTGACCCAGCATATTGACTCAGTGTCATCACCCACTGGCTCAGCATCATCACCCCGAGGTGGATATTTGAAGGCTCAAGAGAGCCACTGGAGCTCTCTATGAGACCTGTGCAGCCAGGCAGGAGAGAGAAGAATGGAAAATCAGTGCTGCTTTGGGGATACCTCCCTGAGGATGCTGGGTGGGTGGATTTTCTTTATGTGACAGCATGTATTTTTAAGAGGAAGGAGGCTCTTGCCCCATGACAGCAGCTCCTGGAAGGGCATTGCAACTGCAATTTTGCACTTCATTCATTTCTAAATATTAAATGTGCTGCATGCTTTTCTCATTTAGTGTTCTCAGTTGTTTTGTTCCTTTCTTTCTCAGGAGGAACTAAAGTCTACCTGAGAGATGTCTTACCAAACCGACCGTGGCAGTTTATCTGGGCTGGAAACAGGACCAGACTGCAAACCTCACATCCAGGGAAGGGTGAGATTCAGAGTAGTGTTGGGTTTTTTTCTTCCTGTGATTTTCTTCCACCTATGGAGAATTTTGAAAGACCGGTTTAGGGCAAGTGGAGGCTTATTGCCAAGTAATGGTAATGAATTCCTACATTCTGTGCTGACTTGTGGAGGACTGCAACAAGATTGTCCTCAGTGAAATAAATGTCCCTACTGGGCATGTAAGAAAACTACATTGTCTTCTGCAAAGCAACTCCAGAAATGAAGACTAAAAACACAAATACCTTATGGCTTACTCTTCTTAAGTGGGAAAAAAAAAATAGGAAAAGGAGGGACCTTCTGCAACACTACAAAGTTGGAAGATGCAGAAAGCCAATTCTTGTTTGTCTTTTAATAAATACACAATGCTATTGAGGATATTGGTTCTCTTTCCTGAGGAAATCCAGCATGCTCTTAACAATTCCTGTACTTTGCCAGGCAGACCTTAAAATTACACTGCTAAAAATGTAATATCCTTCTTTCCATACATGCAGATGGTACAAATAAAGTGTAAATTTATTTTCAAATGAAAAATACAAATTTAAATTTTCAAATAAATTATTTTTGGTGGAAAGGATGGGTTTCTACTAAGCAGAAATATCTGCTCTCAGAAATTTCTTATTTTTATTATAAATCTGAAAAGGGACCACAACTAGAGAAAATTCTTGCTAAGTTTTGAAAATTTTTTCTTGCTTTCACATTTGTAAATATGTACGGAAGATCTGAATGGTTTGTAATATTTTTTCTGTCTTTTGTTAAGACTACAACACATTTACTAAAGACTTTTTAATAAAGTCATAAGACAATTTCCGTCATTCTACAGAAATAAATTATTTTGATTCAATATTCCAACAAATAATTTGTGTCATCCAAGTATGAGAGGATATCATCTCACATCTGCAACAAGTAACAGTTTAAGAGAGGAGAAAATTATAACCCCTTACTATAAATAGCAATTTTTAGCCTTCTTACCATATGCACATGATACATGTGGAATTCCCTGTTATTTTAAAAGGCAACTTGCTTGGCCTGCTGCTGGGAGAATACCTTTAATTACATTTTCTATTATGGTTTATTCAAGGGTTTATTCAACCCTATTCCCTAGAACACTTGTACAAGGTGTAGCTTAAAAAAGCCAAGCTCTTAAGGTAATACAAAGTAATATTATAGGTTTTCATTAAATCTCGCTGAAAAGTGTGGGCTGCTATAACAATACCATGAGCTACATTCATAAACATATTCTGATCCTGGTACAAAACACGCTTTCTTTCACCACAAATGTATGCTTCTCACTGCACACAGTGACCCATGAAGTGGCACGTAGAGATGCCAGAGCCAGGTTTGACAAGCCAACTCCCACAACAGGAAGAGCTGCTCCATGCCAAGGCACTACAGCTCCAAAGCTGCTTGGGCTGCCATGAAAACTCAGAAGGATTTTTGCTGTCAGCTGGCTGGAGGATGTCCACACACCAGAGCAGCCAAGCCAGAGGGAAGGCTGCTACAAGATCTACATTTTAGTCTAATTCATCAATTCCTTTGAGATTGGCCAAGAGCAGGACACTAAAAATGCCACATGTCAGGCTTAATGCTACTGAAAAAGGTGTCAAAAAGTCATTAAAAACAGATATTTCTCTTAGGTCCTCCTGGGTGTAGAAACATCACTTTTCACATGCTTACTAAAGTAGTGGGCCGGCATCAAAGAAACAAATTACTGTATACCATTCCTTTTCTAAAATATATCCCTCAATTATTTTATTTTGAACTACCCAAATAGGAATAAAAGTAGATATAAAATAGGAATTGTGAACAGGCTTGTTATATTTTTCATTATATAATTTAGCAAATGTTTTTTTTCAGTACATATTGTCTTGTAGAAGACCTTTTGGCAGACAAATTAAATAGGACACAAGAGTGACATAGCTTCATACTATGTCTTTGTGATGTTCTTAAAGCAGAAAGCTTTATAAATACCTTTGATAATTAACAAATGAAATATTAATTGCACATATCCTTAGTGGGAGATACTGAGGATGGTAAAATTGAATTACTCTCTCATGCTTAACAATTTTTATAGCTTTGCAGAAAACCAGATGTGTTGAAATTGGGTCCACATAGAGTTAGTATACTTTCTATTATATCTCTGTGTATTTTTGTTTTTAATGCAGGCATAGGATTTTGCATGTATGCAGCTTATTTCAGGATTTCCTGCTGCCCTCTCCTATGACCTGGAGCTACTTTGAGCTACGCAGGGACTAAAGGAGGAAAAGAGTCCTAGTGGGGACAACTAATGTCAGGAAGGGAGGGAATAGAAGTACCTGATGGACACATTTCATTCCTCCTTTAGCCTATGACCTAACATACCGTTAAGCGAAGAAAGAACATCCGTAATTCCTCAGCTGGGTTATTAATGGAGAGAAATCTGTGCCATAGTTTATATAAGGCCTGGCTGACCTTGAACATTCACACAAAGCTTCCCCAGAGTCAACTCCCACAGCTTGGATAGATAAAGACCATCTGTAAGACAGATGTAACAAAATAATGTTTTAACTGTAGTTCAGGATGCTTTTATGGCTTCTATGGAAAACCACTGCTATGACTATCTCCTTCCTTCTCTCTCCTGTTAACCTGGGCTAGAAACAGGATTTGAGAGTCCAGTATGTCCTGGGAGTCACCAAGTCTAGGCTCTGGTGGGCAAGAAGAGCAGTGGGAAACAGTGCAGAGGAATACAAGGGGAGCACTGGAGGTTTACTGAGTTTGATGCTCACTTGCTAAACTGTATTTTTAGCAGCAGACTTCCATTGTAGTAGAGATGAGTAATATATCTACAGTAGACCTCATATTTTCATCACTTGAAATGTCTTATTTGGTCTCAAATTCCTGACAAAATTCTTAAATCTTCAGCAATCGCTGTCTTGGACACCACTTGTGGGCTAGATTTCTCCATAGGCATATGAAGTTATTGCAGATCTCGCAGCCTGTCCTTCCTAACAAATTCCTTCTCAGCATTATTAGCAGATGATCTATATTACTTGCTGGCAAATCATAATACTTTCTGGTGTGCTAGTACACTCTGTGCTACTATGAACGCTTTACACCAGTTCTGTTTAATGCCTTTGGGCCAGATGATAACTAGGTGAGTTAAATCTTCTTTCCCACTTCCTTTACTCCTTCTCCATTGCACGTCTCCTTTCCTTTCATATTCCCTTCTTCCCCAGACCTTTTCAATTATCACCCACACCAAAGACCAGAAAAAAGCACATAAGTGTGCCTGAAACTATGGCAGGAAACATGCTCCTTTTCAACTAAGAGGCTCTCTGGAGGAGAATCATAGAGGTAATAGATTTTTGTGGTTTTTTTTTTTTGTTTGTTTTGTTTTTTTTTTTTTTTTTTTTTTTTTTTTTTTTTTTTTTTTTTTTTTTTTTTTTTTTTTTTTAATAAGGATGTTTCTTACTTTATGTTTAGAGAAAGGCAGATTCATTTGCATGCTGGTATAAGTGATAGATTCATTTGCATGCTGATGTAAGTGATAATAAATTAGCTGCCTAAATCCCCAGTTCCTAGTCTACAGAGAAAGTAAGAGACATGCTCATTAATATTTTATGCAGCCTCTGGATAGAAAAAAATATATCCAGAGTCAATGAACAGCTCCTAGATTTCAATATTGAACTCTGACTGCCCAAAAATAAACCAGGTTCCTCAAGGCTTGCTACAAAAAAAAAAAAAAAAAAAAAAAAAAAAAAAAAAAAGCTGTGACAAGGGATTCCCTTGGGTTCAGATCACCATAATAGAGCCATTCTCATGACTGTGAGTAATTCTCTTTATGCTCTTGCAAATAGCCTGAGTTGTGGCCGTGATGGAATAAAATGTGGCTGCTAATATACTTAGGGTGCAAAAATCTACTGTAAAAAGCCTGGATATTGACAAATCCTGGAGCTATGTAGGACTTTTTCACCTGTTGTGTTTTTTGTCCAGTTGGTTGTTGTTTGCCCTTTTTGTTTTAATTTGGTTAATTTATTTTTCTGTTTGGTTGGTTTGTTTTTTTTTCATTTACAATTCATAATGTAAACAACATTCTATTTAATAATAGCAATTTCTAACCCAGGCCTGATTATGTCCTCAGCAGTTTCCAGCAGTGATGATTTTCTTATTATTGTCCTATGAAGAGTTGCCAAAGTTGCAACCTCCCCTGATCACTACAGGCAGCTCCAGTTCCTACCTCACTTCTCTCCGACTGATTCAACATTCCTCTGAGTTTCTCAGATTTGTTGCTGAGAGAGCATTTCTAGAGACACTCTAAAAATATCCAGAATAAACTGCATTCTCAGCCTTGGCTATTGAAGCCATTAAGCATTGTATTTTGTCATTTTCAATCACATGATTCTTACTCAACTCTTTTTTCTGACTCTTGGCACAAAAATTGAGCATCTGGTCTTTTGAGAAGTTTTTTGAATTTGTATTTCAGTTAGATTTCTGCTTTCATGTCCATCTACTCCCTTTCCTTCTGACAATCATCCTCTCCTCTACCTGCCTGCTTGTCTTTGCTTTTCTTTTGATGTTTAACATATCCCTGAGGATTCTCTCTCATGTGCTCCAGCTGGGATTTTCAACTTCACACTGATCCCTTGCTGAAACATGGCTCCATATTGTCCTTTACACAACCTTTCTGCAAGTATATTATTTAGACACATAAGCACACTTGGGCATACCTTGTGAAATAACTGCTGATTCCACAAGTAGCTTTTGCAAAATTGCAAGGCCCTGCTGGCAGAAAGAGTGTCCTCTGAAATGAGTAACATTTTTATGTAGCAAAAGTTCTTTTTTTCCATTAAAAAAATGACATAATTTTTTCTGTGAAATGTGAAAGGTTTTATCTGTGAATATGACCAGGTGCAATCGTTTCTCCACCAAAGCTATAAATAAAAACAGAAAAAAATGTCTTTTTATCTATACAAGAGTGAATCTAATTCAGCCAATTCACAGAATAAAAATGCAGTCAAAATAATCTGTTCAGATCTAACTGATTAGGTCACACTCAAAACTTTTCTCCAAACACTTGGATCCATCTCTGCTATCTTTATTTAAGACTTTTTAGTGCAACACCTCCAAAGGGTAAAAATTCTGTCTCTATGAAAGAAAAGTATGTACATTTGTTTGCTATCAAACTGCCCTAAGTAGTCCACAAAATTTCTCAGTTTACAGAGGGAAAAAAAATGTAAGCCTGCAATTCACAGCAAAATACCTTACAAACTCTTATCTAATTGTCTATAAAACAAATATTGAAATTGTTTTCCAGGGAGAAAACAAGGGAAGCCAGCAGTTTTAATTCTAGTATGTACTTCACAATTGGAATTATCTGCTTTGTCTGAACACCATTCTGTGAAAATGTTTGCACTATGTAAATGCATCTAAATCATCAATTTTACATAGCATTTATTACAAAATTACAATAATCAATAAATCCATAGTCTCATTCTGACTCACCAGCTAATGCTGATAAAGTTACAGGCGAGATTGCAGGAGGGCATCTAGTCCCTGCAGCAAGGGAGAAACGGAGAAACCTAATCTGCTTCTCATAGGTGGTTTTTCATTATTAAAAATCTGTAACCATGGGGAAGAGCCCATGTTCTCTCAAGTTTAGCTATTTAGTGGTTAATTATCACCACCATTAGAGAGTTTTCCCTAATGTCTATCCCAAATCTCCTTTGATACAATTTAGCCTCATTACTACTTCTCCTGTTCATTGTAGATGCATCCAAAAATTGATTCTCTTTCTCTTTGCGCCAATGTATTCCATGTAAAAGTTTTTGCATTCTAAGGTCATATTTTCTAAGCCTTTCTACCTTTCTGTTATAGGCAGTGATTTGCCTGAGCATTTATATACTAAAAACAAGTTTGGATAAGACCTTCTGCAAATTTGGAAACCAAGAGATAAAATCTTTCATGCGAGGTTTAATCCAAGTTGGATGCATAGTAAATGTTAGAAGCAGCTTGTGATTCTTCACATAAATCTTGCCCAGAACAGGAATAAAACCTTATAAATATCATGCTTGTATACAGATTTCTTCCTGGATGAACAGAAAGCAGATCCACAATTATAAAAAATAATACATCACAGGTAGTATGACTTCAGCTTCTGTCAATCTCCTAGTCATTAAAATTGTAATAAGCTGATAATTCAAGCTTTACTAAAACAATTTACTGAACAATTAATACTTGGGTGTGGCTGAAAGTGCTCATGAGGGAACACTGAGCCCTTCTCTAGCCAAGAAAGGAGATGTAAGAGATGGTGAGTGGTTGTAGCTGCAGATTTCACTCTTTGGCAGAAACCCAGGTTCAAACAGGGAAACAGCTCACTGTGCTGCTGATGCCCCTGTTTGCCACTGCCCACCTCTGTCCACTGAGTCCCTGTTCCCTTGTGAATAGCACTGGCAACAGATAGGCTTGTGGAGTAAGATTTTCTCCTGCCAGATGACAGCAAAAGAAATACAGTGTATTATTGTCATGGCAAGGCAGGGCCTTGCTGGAGGCTAATTCAGACCACAGCATGTACATGGAAGCTCACAAATCCTAAATAGTGCAGCTCATAGGATTGATTACTTGGCGGTCAGAGCTCACAAAAGGAGCAGTGTCTGAGAATGAAGGCATTGCTGTCTCAGCAGAACCTTTCCAGCCAATCATAAAACCTTCTTATACAGATATAGTGACATTTTCCACCTGTCTTAAAGAGAAAAGATAGGTCTCACTGTTTCTCTTGTTTTTAGATCTTTCACACTACAATGAGAAGTTTAATTGCCAGAAAAAAGATCAATCTCAGTGTCCCACAGTGCTCAGAAAAACCACGTTTTTTCCCCTCACAATTTGCCAATCATTTGCTACAGAACATCACAGAATTTATTGTGGGTAAGAGCTGTGGAACCTGACTAAAGAACTTCCAATGAAACATCCAAGCAGAGATCACTGAGAGGAAAACTTGTCACAATGCAAGATGACCTGGCAGCATGGATGATCAGACCTGGCCTAAGCTGTGCCCAAACCTTGCACTGATTTTAGACTGCGCTTTGTGAGTAGAGCCACACCCCAACCTCAGTGGGCTGATAGCAGACCAAGAGAAATGCCAAAAGGATTCCAATTCAGGCTGAAAACTTGTGTATGATTAAGTAAAGGTTTAGATGATGCTTGAGCCTTTTCTGGAGAAGATCCATGATTTTCATACCAAGCAGTGGAGAAGGTGACTTCTCTATGTCCAGCAGAAAAGGCAGAATGAAAGGCATGGACAATGAGACAGGCACATTTGTCAGCAAGTGCTCTTAAAGGAAACAATTCTGCTCTGTAAAACCACAATAATTACTGAGATGAAAAGGTGAGACGGTGTGCTGAGATATATCTATGAATATTTTGTCTTTGAAAGAGTGACTCTTTCATGTCCTCTTTTTTTTCACAGACTACCCGAATGAATCCTTCCTGTGCTGCTGTCCCTAGAAGAGAACAAAAAGTGTTGGGAATTCTGGTCACATGGAAACAACTTGGTTTGTTACACTGACTAATTACAAATTTGTAAATAAACTATAAATAGGAAGTATATTTGTAAATGCAGTAGTCACCTGGTCAAGTTATTTCAAAACCAGCTGCTTAGACTGAGGTCAATTTTAACAAAGTACATAGGAATTTATAAACAGGTACAAAAAGCAAACTGCCCCTTTTGGGAAAAACAGAATGCCTCATTGTTGTGGCAAGATAAGAAATCAGCATTTTCAAGATTAGAAAAATATCTTATAGACAGACATCTTTATTTAGAGAGTTTCTTTTCTTGAACAGTGCTTTGGTAATGAATAGAAGAACCAAAGTTATTCATGAACAGTTCCTAGAGGACCAAATATAGCTTCAAAGCCTGGTTGAATATAGGCAGAAGTCTGCTGTGCTTAAAATTCAGTTGGTCAGGAGGATTATAGATATGAGCTTTGAGTTGATGGACATTTTTTCTTCATTCATCTCATCAAAATGCTCGATTGAGTCTTCAGTTAGAGGCTCTTCTTTAGTTCATTTATGAAATGTGAATAAAGACTCAGAAAATTATTGTGGTAATTAGATACAGTTTGGCTTTCACAAATCAGATAGAGTGGGTTTTATAGCATATAAAAGGGTGTTCACTTGTTGTATTTCTGTCAGACAAGACCAGTTTAAAGCTTATATGATAAAGATATTATGTGAACACTATGCACTGTTGAACACCATTAATTTGACTTGTATCCTGGCACCAATATTTGGTTGAAGTAAATAATTTGGTAATGATACAGTATTTATTGTATATTCTCTGAACAGATATTTATGTTATTCACTACGCTGTTCTAAAGCAACAGCCTGTATTAAAGTGCTCTGACATCCATAAGGGACATAAATGAAATCAGCCTGACTCAAATGCCCAAATTAAAACAGTTTTAGGGGATTCAAGGTATGGAAACTGGGATTGTCTGTTAGGACATCAGTGACTTAGGGAAGTTGGGAAGAATAGAATGAATCAAGCCAGAACAGTCTAAACACAACCTGAGGTTCTGCCACTTGGAAGGAGAAACACAGCTCCTTTCTTGCATGCTTTATCACACATGTAGGTCATGTAGACCACATATGAAAGCAAAGCCCTGAACATGTCATGAAACTGGATCAGTTACCAAAAGATCAGTAAAGTAAACCTTCTTGCCCTAGCCAAATGTTTGCATAATTAAATTCTGAAAGCTCTGTAGTTTCAGTTGCATTTGATGCACGTGGTGCTTTCAGGAGACATCTTGTTGATTAGAAGTCACAGGTTATAAAAAACCTTAACTTGTCTGCTAAGTCCCACCATCTAAGAATATCTGTCCTACTAAATGTTCTGGCTCTACTAGCATTAGCTTTCATCATCAAAGTTTGTTTATTATCTTAAATAATAAACATCTTTATGAAGTTACTCTCCAGTTGGGCTTGCATTCCTAAATCACTTGGACATCAGAAAAACTACTTTTTACCCATTTAAAAGTATAATTTAAAGTACTTAAATGGCACTACACAAAAGGGGAAAAAAAAGTAGATTTCTCTGAGTGAGGTATCCTACAGAAATAGGAAATTGTAATTTTTACATCTATTCCTTCCTCTAGAGTAGCATCTCTCTTGGACAATGCTCATCATCTTAACACCCGGTCACAATGGTGATCTGAAACCTGACAGAGCAGCTGGAGCTGATCCCTTTCAGCCAAGGTTCTGGAGACACAGAAAGTGTTGCCTGCAGCTAGAATCCATCGTCGTTCTGCAGAGGAGCTCAAAAGAAAAGACCCACACTCAGTTGCCTAGTTGCAACTGAGCTTTTGTTATTGCCCTGACTGTGTAATTCGGTAAAAGAATAGCATTTAAAAATGGATTCTCATATCTCAGAGTACAAATTATTTTGCTCCTCGAGAAGGTCTATTTATGGATAGTAAATTATTAGCTAGAACATTTTCATAAGTTTGATACATTAGATCACTTTATTCCAGCTACAGTTCATACCCTCAACATCTGAGTCCTCAAGGTGCCAATCTGAATCATCATGTGCCTACCTGCCTGATTTGCATGTACAATTTGATCATTAACAGTGCTTTTGGCTTGCTGTCATGGTTGACTTCTGTGGTCTCCATTTGCAAGACACTCAGATTATCTCTGCATGCAGAAATTATGTTTGCAATACACAAACCTGTCTTTTGTGATGTATTGGTCTTTATATGTTTTGGAATTATTTTCATTTTCTATATGGGAACAAAGAGTGTAGAAACAATAGTTTTGTCTCTTAAATGAATGGCAATGCAGGTGACCAACAATTTCTAAAGATAATAATTCTGTCACAGGACTCTTCCTGGGTACAGAAATATGAGGCATTCAAAGTTATGAGCTTGACTAAAGCAATAAATACTTTGCAAAGAGACCATTGTTACCAATGTTTCTTGCAGATTTTCCTCAGTATATGTACTGTGCCTTCTGGATAGAGACTGCTTTTTCATCTTGAGGCCAGCTGTACCATTACAATATACTAGAAGCAAAGGAGACAATTTTATATGCAAAAACAAGAAAAAAAATTGGTTCAATCTAAAAAATAATAAAAATCTTTCTTAATTTCCTGTTTTGCTATACAGAATATGACTTTTTTTCCCCTGCCATTAATAAATTGTTGACACTTACACTGAGCAAAGGAAGAACAGATAAAAATACAACATGTGTACAGGAAAAAAAACTTATTCCAAACAACATCCTGAAATAAATCTTCTGTTTGTGAGAGTGGAATAATAATAAATAAATAATAAATATAATAATATGATATATATAATATAATTATATATAAAATATATAATATAATAATATAATAAATATAATAATAATAAAAAAAATCCCACTCTTTGTGAGAGTGGGAAGTGAGAATTGAATTTATTAGATTTGCTTTTACAAAAATCAAGTAGCTGAACCCCCTAGGTATAGTATCACTGCAGATCACAGAGGTGGACGGTATCTACTAGTTTATGACACCACATTTTTGTGGGTATTGTGCCCAAAAGGAGTACTGTTTTCCTAATAGTTCAGCTGTCATGAATCCCCAAGACCTCAGCCAAGTGCACAAACTTGTGCTCTTGATCATGATATGATCCTGCCACAGTTGTAATTAGGTGTAATTAGTGTAATTAGGTGGTCAAATGGAGACCACATAAGACAGAAGAGAGGGAGTGTCTGTCACCCACTCTGAAGGAGAAGTACACCTTCCACTGTGACTCAACACCTACAAGGTGCATATCCCAGAAGAAATTCTCTTTCCTACTTTTTTAAGAAACTGACTTCCAAGTGATCTTTAGCTCTCTTGGAATTTTTTTTCAGTTCCTTCTCTTTTTGTGGAACCCACAGTTTGAAATAAACTAGTCATGAGAGGCAAATTATGCTTACCTTAGGGGAGTCAGGCTGTTGAGATGCCACAAAACAAGAAATACATTCCCTTCACTGAGTTAACAAAGTTATTCTGGGAACCTAGAGACTGATTTTTAATTTTGAACTTAGTGTTACCATTATGAGATGCTAGCAGCAAAGGAAACAGGCCTTGAAACGTCTCAGTAACTCAGCAGTTTGGGGCACAGGCATAAAACCCAGCAAACCCTGAGGCACACACAGTGGACTCACATTTTCCTATGTGCCACAGGATATTGATCAGTGCCTACTTTCTCCACAGCAAGGCAAGCAAGAAGCAGTTAAAAGAACATACCTGTTTTTAAATAATTTGAAAGTCTAAGAGGGGTTTTTATATAGGCCAATATTTACATTAAATGAAGGCAGAGTTTATATATGTCCCAGTTTAAAGCAGTACAATGGAGGGTATGGCATGAGAATTTTGCCCAAACCTGCCTCATTCTTCAAATGCCTATTTTTATTACCTTAGCCAAAAAGACCCAAAACAACACCACTGAACCTTTACTGGAAAACTAGGAGTGTGATCTTTTGTTTTAGGAAATCTTTTTTGTTCCAATAATAAGAGCCATCTGTCTCACAAAGATTGGTTTGGTTTCAGATGTACTAACAGCGAACATTGTTACATAAAAAACTATAAATTATATGCTGCTGTGGGAACTCTGGTGCTATAAATGGGTACAGTTTCACCCCATTACCCTAGCAGAATATCTAGCCTACTGTGTTTCTTATGTCATCAAATAAAAAGACAAGCCACTTAAAGAAAAATCAGACTACCTTTTAAGCCACTGCCTGTCTCACAGGCTGACATACTGCCTATGGGCATGGTAATTACCATACTTTTTCTTATTTTGTTGTCCATATAGGACTATGCTGTCCAAGCAGCATGGGAACAGGAGTAATTGAATTCAAGTTTAAATTGTGACAAGCAAAGAATTTGATTTTCTACTTGAGCTTTGGAGGGTTTATGAGGATATAACAAGAAAATTATGAGTAAGAAACACAACAGAAAAGGCATTATGCTAAATTCCTTTTAATTTAGTGTCATGGAGTAAGTTCCAGAGCTGCATTAACCTGTTGAAATCAATGGGACTCTGTTCAGAAGAGGTCTTCTAGATCTTTTACAGGTATACACTCCTGAACAAAGGTTTCATGCAAACACAAACCTGGTGTGATCAGAATCAGCATAAAGAAGAAATTTCAATATCTTGAAATTGGTTATTTTTTTGTTATCTATTTTCAATATATTTCAATTATCCAATAAATAAATATAATCCTATTTCAATTATGTAATTGCAATATATTGGTTTTCATACTCATGATGCTACCGATTGTTGTTCAGAATTGGACCAATTATTATCTTTGGGTTTTGGTAATCAGGCATTGCAAGATGCAACATTACTATTCTCAAAAATGGCAGTGTGGTACCATTCTTTTCATCTAGTTTTATTTGCATTAATGGTAATCTGGGTACAGTTGGAAATATAATAGCATTTACATCATAAAGGAAAGAGAAAATAGAAAATAACAAAAGGGATTTTTCTTTGCTGGGTTTTGGATGGATTTTCAGAATACAAAACTCTGAAGGAACACTACTTGACTAAACATTATTAAAAATACTTTATTAACTCTTCTCTTCCTCTCCTAGACTTTGCATTGGGTTTGTGTGGCCATTGGTAGTGAGGGTGGCTACAGGGGTGGTTTCTGTGAGAATGTGCTGTAAGCTTCACCTGTGTCCCATAGAGCCAATACCAGCAGGGTGTCCAGGTTGGAGATGAACAGCTCCACCAGGACCAGTGGAGAAGGTGCCCAGCTGATATTCCCCTGCTTCAGCTGACATTCCCTGGCAGCCCATGGTGAGGCAGCTGTGCCCCTGTAGCCTGTGAAGATCCATAGTGGAGCAGAGATGCACCAGCAGCCCATGGAGGACCCCATGCTGGAGCAGTTGGATGCCCAAAGGAGTCTGTGAGCCAGTGAGGAGAGGAGTCCATGCTGGAGCAGGTCTGCTGGTAGTACTGGTGACTCCATGGGTGACACAAGCTGGAGCAGCCTGTTCCTGGAGGACTGCATCCCATGGAAGAGCGACTCACCCTGGAACAGTTTGTGAAGGGTGGCAGGCCACAGGAAGGAGTCGCTTGCAGAAGTTCATCGAGGAAGGTGTCCCATGGAGCAGGGGAAAAGTGTGAGGAGTCCTAGACCTCTCCATGAGGAGGAAAGGGTAGCAGAGACAATGTGATGAACTGACTGCAGCCCCCATTCCTGTCCCCCTGTGTCCCTGGGGTCAAGAAGGTAGAGAATCAGGAGTGAAGTTAAGCCTGGGAAGAAGGGAATGGCACAGGAAAGGTGTTTTAGGATTTAGTTTTTTGTTTCTTTGTATCTAATTTTGATTTGATTGATAATATTTTTTTTCCCCAAATTTGAGTCCATAATTGGTGAGTGTTCCTGTTGATGATCTGTTTCTGTCATTACCTCAACTCACAAACCCTTCCTTGTGTTTTCTCTCCCCTGTCCTTCCCAGGAGTGGTAGAAGGTCTTTGGTGGGCATTTGGTACCTAGCCAGCATCAACTTATCACAGACCTCCATAAATACCAGTACAGCAGCACAGCCAAAGTTCTTCTGCACAAGGACTGGCTGAAGAGAGCAGCATTTCAAGAACCAACAGCTTAACTCCAGCCAGTCAGCAAAAAAAAATTGGGGAAAGTGTCAGCATTTGGAAGAATAAAAGTACTTAGTGCCTTGTCCTGAAAAGGGTCGCTCATCTGTAACAAACTACTGCTACTCAGCTCTTTTGCCATGCCAGTTGGCTCTGGACTGAATTTCCAAGCAGAAGCTGGCTTTCTCTCCGAGTCTTACAGACCCTGCAGTCTGCCATCCATCAGGGAAGGGAACAAAGCATGGGCAGGACTGTGAGCCAGCCCTTGGCTGGTAGGCAGAGCTGGTGCCAGCCAACCTGCCCTGCAGCAGCCCTGTGCTCACGAGCACAGCCAGTGCCCGTGTCCTCCGATTAGAACACAGCCCTGTCACTCAGCATCAGCTCCTGCTTCATCAGTCATCTCAATTTCAGTGGTAGTTTAGCATCATCTCCCAGCCAGGCACCGTGAAACTCATTTCCCCCTCTCAGAAACAATTTAGCCCCATTGTGGAAACAATTGAATTACGTTCTCTCCAGCTTCGCTATAAACCCAGAGTTCTAAACTGAAGCTATACTCAAGATATCATGCCTGTCTCTGTGTATTGACTCTTTTCTTTTGGAAGCAGAAGCTGGAAGAGAGGAAAGAATAAGAGTAAGAAAAACAAAGTAGATTCAGCAACCTTTTCTCAGCAGTGAATCCTACCCTATATCAGTTATATAACAATGGCTCAGTTTTGCTGTCAAAAACGTTGTCAATCTGTGTAAAGCAAGACCACGTAAGATTAAAAAAGATAGACTAAGAGGAATGATTTGGGAATTATCAGTAATTCAAAGTCTTTTGATATGAATACTGACATGAAAAGCTATAAGAACCTGAGGAGAGGAGAAAAGAAAGACCAAAAAAAGCTGACTGAAAATAGCAGCTTGGCAAAAATAATCATCAGTCTATTTTGAGTAACACAGCTCTTCCCTAATATTTCCTTAAAGTTTACATGTCCATTTAAGACTTGTCTGTAATTCCTGTAGTCATGAGAAAGGGGTAAATCTGTGGATGTTGAACTGGTCTCACTGGCATGTTATTCCCAGCATTCTACTATTACTGTTAAGAAATAAATATTTTTGTGCACTCAAAAATTGTGTAAAATCCTGCCTTGAAGATGCACCAATAAAGTAACTCAGGGCCGACCATTACATTTCCTATGATCTGAAACTGCTTTTAGGCCACCTCAGTTCTAGAGTAATGTCAGTTTCTTTTCTTCACAGTTTGCCCAAGGGAGCCAATTAAACTTTTGAGAATGAGAGCTAGGCTCAAATTCTGCTTTATGCATCACATGCAGACTTGTTAGCAAAGCTGTAACTCCTGGATATTTGTAATTTTTTTCCAAGCTGATGCATTAGCTGGAAAAATCTACCTGGGTCTCTAATCCCAGGTTGAGTTTGCAAAATGAAAAATATTTTTTTTTTTTTGTAAACTGTACAAACTGGGTTTGCAGTTGTCACAGAACTGTGATCGTGGAAATGTTTAAAATTAGTTTTTCTTTCATTATTATCTGGCTGTAAGAATTGGTTCTCTTTCACTACATTTCTTTCAAGACCTGAGCTGGGTTTGTAGACATCAAAAGCCACAGCATTCCTTCCACCAGTGTCAGAAGCTGCTGGAGTGTGTCCCAAAACCAAAGAAGTCATTCTTGTACTCAGTCTGATATACAGTGAGACTCGAATAATCTGTACTCTAAGAATTTTTTCAGTGCTACATCTACCTTAGCCTTATGCAAACCGTACATAAAAGGAATCTAACAGTGATTATGTTAGAATTAATCAGATCTGGTAGAGTGCTTTTTAGTTTCATGTGGGAATTTAAAGGTTTTGCTTTAATTCTTATGGTAATTTGCCAAAAAAACTGTTTACTACAAGGTGGCCATTTGACAGATTGAGCTGAACAGTGCCAAAAAAAAACCCAAACAAAAAACAAAATCCACAGAATGTTGGCAACATTAATCTTCCACTTCCTTTCCAGAAGTTTCCTTTTCAGGGATTTAATTTCTCCATTCATAAATGTTTTTCTCTTGGCATTTTTACAGCAAATTTAATAAGATACCAGTTTCTCACAAAATGCTTCTACAAATTCAGGGAGAGTTAATTTCCTTCCCAAAGCATTTGAAATGGGAGAGAACCCCAGGGCTGCTCCACCATTCAGCAGGAGCACTATGGAGAGCTCCCTCTGTGTGAAATCCTGCCCTGCCATGGAGGGACTCAGCTGTCTCAGTGGATGCTGCTGTCTGACTCCAGCACTACAAAGGCTTGAGGTCTAGAGTCTCATTCCCTTTTGAGAGGAAAAGAGAGGGTAAGAAAATGCAGTATTCATCCTGCTGGCCTGAAACATATGTGGGATCTACCAGGCAGCTAATGCAGCATAAATACCATACGGTCAAGGCTCTCTATTGTTATCTTTTTGAGGCAGACAGCAAAGCCAGCAGCATGGGTGGCTGCATTTATGGCAACATTCAGTTCAGATACAAATGCCACTACCTAACATTTTTTGAGTGCTACAGATAAAGGAAATGGTTTACATTCCCCACTGTCACACACAGGACTCACTTGTCTTTAGCATGGCTTAAGCAGCACCAGTACAGTGCTTAAGCCTTCAACACCAGTACAAAAATGGGTCTCACATTTCAGTTTTGCAATAAAGAGTTTGAATTTCAATGGGTTAATGCAAAGAATAACATATAACAGGACTCAGACTACATCCCTTTTTCTGGTGGGCAAGTTTGCTGCACTGCAATTATAAACTGTCAGAAAGTTTAAAGCCCGCCTTCATTCCGTATATTAATGCACTCCTGGAAGTTCCAATGAAGAGCTGAAGATGAATTTTGACTGGTATATTTAGCATGATGGGTAGGAACAGAGGAGTTCCACTGGCTATTTGGCAAGATTACTTATTTAGCTGCAGGATTTTGGTATTTCTGACTATTTACTAAGTTGGAATTATCCACATTGCCTTATTCTGAGTTTTTTTCCCTCAGATCTGAAGTCCTACACAGCTCCATAGAAGGTGAAAACTGAATAAGAGATTTAGGTGATTAATAAGTAACTAAAGGCAAGGAATATAATTAATGTCAATCACCATGAATTCATAGCATCCAGAACCTGTCAAATCTGATACATTTTTGAGGGAACAAATATAGCTGGTGAATGCAATGGTGTCACTGTACTTGAGATTTCTGTACAGTTCATGGACAAGATAGCATACAGTACTCTCAATAAGAGAGAACAGAAACTGTGGAGTCTGTGAAATGGATTTACAAGGGGCAAGACAGCTGGTATGGAAAATTAATTATGAAAGGGAAGTCATCATCAGATCTCTGCTCCAAGTGGTGTCCTATCCTCCTTTAATTAAATCAAGGAAACTGAAGATACTCTGCATCAAATTTAAGTTATTTTAAGCTGTCCTGTCTTCCTCTGTGTAGTACCATGGATTAGACAGTCTGACACAAATTTTATACTCCTGAAACAACCTCACAGAAAGTAAAGGGTTGGCAAATCCCTGATGGCACAGGGATGGCAGAAGAGTGACCCTTGCCAGGCTGTGAGACCTCACCCCAGCTCCTCTGGAGTCCCTGCTGTGGGGGCACCCCTGAGCTCACAGCTCACAGCACTGACACAGCCTGGCTGGAGAGCTCCAGATCCTGCTACCCAAATCTACTGCCACTTCTGGATATTACTGACACATCTTTCTCTCTGCCAGTATTCAGTACCTGATCAGAGAAACTGTAAATTTATTTATTCTTAGGAAAAATGTCAGTGGCCAATTTCCCTGTCAGTTAGTCATTATGATGATTGTAAATGTCAAGCTCCTTTATTTCTTTTATACTGTTTTATTGTCCTGTCATCTTTCTAGTCCTGGTCTCTAATTTTTACACCCACCTCCAGTGAGTACTTTTCTTAAAGGAGTTTGCTGCTTTAAACTCCTAAAGGAGTTTATAATTCTGAAAGGAAATGGCATTTAGCAAAAACATCTATTTAAAAATGAAAAAAAGTTGTTTGAAGCTTATGTATCTGCTAGGCTATAGATGCAGGTTCTATAAAGCAAGTAGCAGCTAGGGATCCTCTGGAGATTAATGAGATTTTTTTTCCTTATTGTAAAGACAGATTAGTCCTAAAGCCCCCTTATAAATTATTGAGTTCTGCGTTATTTTCCTCACAGTCTTCCCAGAAACAAAAAACATTACAGAATATATAGCCAGGCAGGTGTGAATTGTGCAGATAAAAGATTTGTCTTGAAATAACCAAACTGGCAAATCAGGAAAATAAAAACATAACAGACAAAAACCTTTTATTCCACCAAAGAAAATTTTTAGATTACAGAATAAGAGAGGGATTTGAGTCAGCTACTTCTGAGCAGAATTCATTAACCTTTTGTGGTTTTTTTAAATATTATTTTTTTTTAGCACCAGAAATATTAGGTTATGGCAGATTTGGGAAACAAAATCGACTGGTTCCACAAAAAATGTGTTTAGTACAAAATTTTCAGATTAATTTTACTTGGAAATTGTGGTGGAAAAAAAAATCAAGGAAACAAACTTGTGCTGAATATAATAGCAAAAAATTTAATGTAATCTCATTTTCTTACCAGAATGAATCAAGTTATTAATTTGCCTTGTGAAAATGCAATTATCATAACAAAACCAGACATTCCTCTAAATCTTGAGAAGAACCTGTAAGAAGTGTATAATCTACTAAAAGAGTTTGCAAGCAATAAAATCCTGCAAAAGAATTTGTCTCGTTTATTTATAGCTTTTAGGGATCTGGAGGTGATACATAATACTAGAATTTTATATCAAAGAAGGCCTAAAAGGGATCATTCTAACTCCACCAAATACAAATAAAATATTACTGGCATCTAATCCACACAGAGAAGCACGGTGCCAGATCATTAGCATTTCATTTAGTGAAAGTAATGCCTAAATCTGCACACCCTCTGGAGAAATCCATCTGTTCTCATTAATCAGGGCATCTGTTTTGGCAACTAGCTATTAACAAGAATTCTG